AATCAGAGCCTCTTTACACAGTTCTTCTTACCCAGCACTCACCAACAAGCGCAAGTTTTTCTTATCTCATTGCGAAATGACGCTGTAAGCAGACTGGGAGCATCTGCCGATTGGATTCTGGATGTCAACAGAATCTTCAACATTGAACTTCGTTCTGTTAAATAGAAGCCTCAAACGGAACGAAACAGTACTGCAGGTCTTTGTAATATTCTCACCCCAAACTCTTCGAGGAAGCCCATCACGAAATCAAACTGTCACTGGACAATAACAGATAGATAATTCTGGTTGGTGTTAGTATCATTGTGGTGTGATGAGGAAGGTTCTCTAGCTCGTTCACACCGGCCCATAGGTAAGCGTTCTTCCCGCAATCACTAGTAACCGTCTGTAAGAACCGGGTTTCAACTTACAGACGGATAATGGAAAGTCGATCGCCATATACGTGGGTTTACGCTAGTCCATCCACTGGACCTTTGTTGTTACAGACATACCAATGTCATTAATTGACATAATTATACCAAAATGCCATAACTCACTCGCCGACGCAAGTCAATGGAAGTTAGGGGAAGAAATACTAGATTATTTTTTGCGGATTATCATATTCTGGTTATGGGTTATCCCCAATCAAAATAGAACAGATGATCGACACTTACCCCCAACTGGTAAGTATCTTTCACTCCATGAAGCAACCAGAAATAAACAACGTGCAACCAGCAAAATTACACATCACGACTATAGGATTACTTGTATTTTCAAAGCATGCTGTCAAAATCCTAGGAAATGAAATGAACTGGAAACGAGTCACATGAAAGAATAGGAGTTGATCCGGGTATCAAGAAACACAAAATATTACGTCAAGTTGACGTTTTTGACTGACTGGTTATTCGTTTAGCGCATTAGTTCTTATTACAAACAGCTCTGGACTTCAGTGATATTCAGGCTCGACTACCAATAGCTTGTTGCAATGCAGCCTCCACAAAGCGCTCCAACTCTTATGTTTAACATTAGAGTCGTACTAAAGTTAGTTTTCTAGTGTATAAAAATGTATCCTACGTGCCCCTGCTTTATGCAACATATGGTTATTTGAAAACACACTGTTATTAAAAGTACGATCTTCTATTCGAAGTTAACCTGGTCAAAGTATAAAGCCAAATAATTTGCAGCGACATCATTAAAAATCGATGTCATCACTAACTACTCCTTGACGTCTAAACCTGTAGGTTTGTCTTCAGATATATTAGGAATGAAGTACAGAAATATGAGAATACTGTCAAGCTGTGTGAAAATGTATAAATATAATGCCAACAAAGAAACAGATTCACGTTCGTTTGTACGGTGCACCAGACTGAGTAGAGCTCAACGCCAAAAGTATAACAGATTCTTAAACAGATCGAAGATCACCGTCAAAAATGCTCAACAGTCTAACTATCTAAAGGAAATCACTCGTACAATCTACTCGCAATGTTGCCCATCCCATAAGCAAAAATATAGCGTTCCGGATCGCAGTGCAGAGATTAATCAAAAATGATACCAAGCTTCACACATCAAAAACCTGAGAAAACGAACAGAAGCCATAATGACTCCTTGATAATTATGAACCGTAAAGACCTCTCTGGTCTTCTTTTTTTTCTCAGGACAAAAACGATAAAATGGTCTGATACGATCCAAAGAGGGGTCTCAAGCTTCACAAAATAGGACCATCGAAGGTTAGAGGGCTTATTCGAGGGAAAGATAATAAACACTCGTATAATCTAAGACTCATTCGTGTATCGTTCACTGGCACTGATGTCGTCCAGGATTCCCTGACGGCCAGTCAATTCCTACAACACAAAGGGGGCTGTAAAGATACTTCTTAATATACTATGTTCGAAGTGTAGTTTCATCCCAGAGCAAGCTTCCTCTCCATTCATATACGGCCCTCTCAGATAAAATAGGTGATGATACACACGGATTTTAGACCGAAATCATAAACTCCAAAGATTCCAGTTTACGGAATAAGACAACTGAGCTGCGTGGCCTGAGTTATGTCGTTCGCACCCAGTTGATAAGAATATCTGATTAACAGCGATTTTTCCGGATCATATATCAAAGGCTGTCAATACATCGCATACTTTGGCTCCGTAATAACAGAAAAACTGGGATGAGAGTAGAGCAGCTCTCTAAGAGTCCTCTTGGCTGTGCATCAAGTGTAAACAAGAGTTTGCAAAACTTGATGCATCAATGTGGTTCTCGTTAAGATGGTCTATCACTTCAATATGTCCATTTTTTATCCTATTTAGAAGACTCTATGATCACACCGAGTACGACAGTCTCATCCTGGAGCTACGTTCTCCAAACTCACCAAAGGACTGGAATTGTTCAAGATTTTGAAGTCAAAAACCTAGCAGGAAAACATCCATACACTGTTATAAGGGAAGAATTCTTAATTGAAAACCTATCTCCCTCTTGGTTCATATGGGAGAAACAAATGCAGTTAAAGCCTTCAATTTCACTACCAAAACTGGGCTAAGATATCCTTAAGAGGATATGCGTTAGAACTTCAGACGACTGGTTGCGTCAACTATAGCGAAATTTTTACAGAAAATGAACTGACAAGACCAATGTTAACTTGATAGGGGTGCTTGCTGAAATTTCTTACACAGGATCTTACGGTTTACAAAGGATTCACTACAACAAAATGTCATTAAGAGTTTGAAGCGACCTACAGTTATGTAAAGTAGCTCACTTTCACTGCTTAAATGTGAAAAATGATATCGACTGAAAAACAAATGAGCTAGTGATGACAGTGTGTCGTAGAGTCAAGTCGCGGTTGACTATGAACACCACTACAATAAGAATACGTGCCAGTTAACCAATAAAATCCCCCGTAAGCCAAATATCACAAGGCAGTTGATGGCTGTAGTCGAAATGTATTTGTTGGCGATCTCGTGGTATCGAAAGGTTACCGAGATCGTGCCAACAGGAGTACAAGTGTGGTTACCAAGCGTAACGGAACCTGTCCAAGGTCACAATCAATCGAGTAGTAATAATATGGCTGTCTTTAGCATAGTTAAACAAACGAGCACAGTAAAACAATCATTGGTACAGTTGGTTATAATAATAATTATTCTCTTGATATAAGTTGGTCACTACAACAGCACTTATTGGCAGTTCGAACAAGAATGGAACCCGGAAAGAGAGGGGCAATGATAAGATAGGATTTGGTATGGGACCAAGCTGATGGACGAATTTTTCTCCAACCTGAGAAACGCGTTCTGCAAAACTCCTGAGAAAACATTATTTTCAAACATTCCAACCATCATATACAACCCGCATCGACGAGAGCCTTATCTGAAACGCACCTGGAGCCTTGGAAGTAAACAAGAGCACCTCAGTGGTGTATCAGCTGTTGTAGCTTATGATCAAGAAGACTTTTCCTGAATAATTTGTTTTGGTCTGCTATACTGAGAGAGGGACTTCAATCTAGATGACACCGTTTATTTTAATGTTCTCGAACTCCGCAACCCATGACGCTGTCACCGAAAACTGGTAGCCGGCGAACATAACACGAAAGATCAAGGAAGTCCGGCTCAATCAAACTTTATGCTACCTACCCGTTACACTTATTTCCCTCAAATATTACCAGTCCTTTAGTATGCGACGATCGCGATTGTTTGTTTTCCATGAAACGGTTTTCACCCCTGCAACAACTTCTCAAGAAAATTGATTACTGCAGACACAGAGAATTCTACACGACATAAAAGTTGGGTGAACCTGAACTCACTTTCAACATTTTAAGTGTAAAGTATGTTCAACGGAGACATATTAAGAAATGAACATACAACTATGACACTTCTCAGTTGTGTCTCAAGTTGAAAATGATGTAGGTCTTAGTAGGCTATGATCTGAAACCTAAGCTAAATATGACAAGCTTTGTGAGAACATCCTGAACTCGTTACGTGAAATGGCATCTTTGACAGGCTTGGCAGCAAGAAGTTTCATTTGACTTTCAGAAGTTCTATTCGGTTCCATTTTATTTACAAAAATAGAGAGTCGCCTAACTCCTTCAGAAAGTGAAAGAGTGCACTGAAACGTATCTAAACGTGACAAATTAAATCAGTCCGACGACTGAAATTTAGACTTCACGGACAGCGCCTCGAGTCACTAGATCTTTGAGCATTAGAGCATCAGACTTGTATGTAAACTCCTGATAGTTCAAAACGCAAAACATTCCTGAGCACCGTTTTAAGTATTCAATAAAGCCCAGTACCAGCATTAACCTTAAAGTCAATATCAAGAAATTACAAACAATAGCAGAAAGGACTGTATACATACCTATCCTTCACGGGTAATTAAACTCGGGAATCCGCTGTTGCCTGTAGACCAAGAGACTTACCAGAAGACCTTCGGAAGGAAAACTGACATATTCTTAACAGCAGTATGTCATTATAATTTTCCAGTGTTTCTCCCTGGCTAGTTTCACATAACTAGGTCCTTACCTGGAGGAATCGGTGATCTACTGCTGATGGATGCGGAAACCCCCCATTCCTTTAATTCCGCCTTCTTAGATTGTCTGCATCGTAATTAAGTAGTTAATTTATTTATATTTTTTAAACAATCATCTCTTCGCACTCAAATTATCACTTTATTATTTTTCACGTTGCTATTTACTAACCTCCTTCCTCGTGATGTGACAGCTTTTGGGTATCCAGGAAGCCTACTTCCCTGAGACAAGCATAATCAAACTATAAGATAAGCAAATTCACAGGTAATGTACCGCACGGATTTGATTTAGTGCAGCTGAGTTGCTGACCCATCACCCATTATGCATATTCATACATATGGAACCGTACCGAGGCAACAGGAAGCGAGCACAAGGAAATCAATGGGTTCATACAAGTTCGTAACGCTGTTGAGCAAAAGCCTCTTTTAATCCGTCTAGAACCATTTAGACCATTCGTGACAAATATCCTTGATATATTGAATATTGGATGTGACCGCAACAAGTTCAACACAAGCGGGCTATGATTCAGACGACGGAAGATTTGTGTCGCAAACTCCAGAATCTTGATAATGAATGGAACAAGAAAAATCACGATGTTGAAGATTGCCTAAAGAAAGTCGAAGAAATAACAGTAAGTGGTATACCTTTGTTTGACAGTATTAGTCTGGATTAACTAGATGTGCATTCCTTCCGAAAAATGAATCAGAAGCTTCTCGACGTGAGCTTCTTGTTGCTAGTATGTTGATTTTCTTGACTAGTTTATATCTTAAGGAAGTACACTGGAAATAGCAGCTATGTTGTGTTCCGAGAAACAAGATATTCCTGCTTTCGAGCATTATATGTCCCAGTTAAAGTGCTACTACTATGACTATAAGTGGGTCCGTTAATGTATGTCTTATGATCTTTATTTTAGAGGAAATCTCCCAGATTCACCCTATAAGTATGAACTTCTTGGGCTAAATCTACTGTTTTTGTTGTCGCAGCGTAGACTAGCTGATTTCCACGTTGTAAGAAGCATATTAATTGCTTACCCAGATATAGGAATTAGAACGGCTTACGATTGAAGAAATCACTTCCAGTGTATATATCAATCACCCAGTCTCTATGGAGCAGTATTTGATGGAAGGCAACTTTCACAAGGTCTTCCTGTCCAAAGGTAACGTGCCGTCCAAGAGATACGATTTCTTCATCGATATATTTTTGAACGCAACCAGGTAAAATGTAGACACCAATTTACGTTTTTCTTAGAGAGGAAGTCGCCTCTTGTATAGAGCATGCGTACGAAACGTTGTCACTCAAAGATGCTACTCCTATGTTGTTTTTTAGTTCAAACAATGAAACAAAATTATTTGCTGAAAAGGTATGTATTTTGACACTTCTGAACATTTTTTAGAGAAAATGGAATTTAGTGGATGGTACTTTTCATTTTCCAAAACATAAGAAACGGGCGGACGATGCCATCCCGTCTGCCCACGTAACACGAGTAATGCTTGACTATACGAAAGAGTTGGACCAAATAATTTGAAAAATGACAAGCCAGGGTTATTACTTGTATCTATCCTTCAGAACGAATTAAATTTTGCATGTATTTTGTTAACTTATCGGTGTAATCAGTGTATCGCACTGCACTACATGAAAGCGTATTGCAAACAAATCACACTACTCATGTTCTGTAATTTGAGTGGCCACTTGTAGGAATTTTTATGAATAGACTCCATTCCTCCATGGCGTATAATTTTTCCAATTTCGCAAAAAGCCAGGGCTTACAGGCTAATCCTTCCGTCATGTTCATAGGTCTTCGAGATGACTAATGATCAGGCTTATTTTATTCTAATAGACTTGCGAATGGATTGATAGGGAATTTAAAGTTACTGTGACTGCACCTGACAAGTAAAATATTAGGTCTAGCGCAAATATTCTAATGATATGACGTAGTGTATATACGATCTATAAAGTCCCAGAAGAGTACGAATTATTTGAAGTGGTAATTCTGCTCACAAGCTAGCACTGAACGTTGGGTTGAAAAAGTGCTTTCTAGTGATGAAATTCCTAGTAATAAGTTATTAGTAGTCCCACTCATTTAGGAAGTGCATATTTATGTAATTAGTGTTGAGTCACACGAGGTGGGTGATAATGCCTAGCTGACGAAATTGGTAGTGCGGGATTTTAACCTAAAACAAGGATTAAGAGTATAGAAGCAGTACATGCCTCTGTGTGCTGTTTCGAAAGGAAATGACACGTTTGCGACCTGAAGTTTCTCAACAGAAATTATCCCTTGTGCAATAGCTGTATTACAGGAGTTTCTTTTGTCAACGATCCAAGATTGCTACCAGGAAGATCGGTATTTATATCATGATAGCCCCAAAGTCTTTGGTTACACGCTACTTTGTTACTTGCGATGAAAATTCTTCAGCATGTCGCATTACCTCAAGCTTACTTTGAACAGTGATCTTTATGAGTGATTAAATCAGTTGTAGATTTTTGTTCGTCTTTCCAAATGTGGGAAACATCGTTTAAATTAAGGAGTATTCCGGATATTCAATATAGTGCTTTGAAAGTAGTTATTTTCTCAGTCCTTATTGAGTCAGTGTGGTTGTTTTGGGTCATTCGTAGAAGTGTTCGCGAATTTCCCATATCGACTGTTTACACCAAAGTTAGTACGGAAGTCCGGCACTCTGTGACCAATTTATTTGTAGAGAAACATCATCCACTTTTTGTATCAAACATGTATGTCTTTTGTTCACTAGAATGGATGATGAAAGTCAAACGAAAATAAGTTGGGACTTAAAGCTAATATTTATCAAAGTTTTCCCACAGAACAGCGGAAATCAACTAGGACAAGCATAAGCAATGAGAATGGGGAAAGCCGAAAGAACAAATAACGGGGGATGAGTTTATCGAATTAAATGGTATTCGAGCGTTAGAGAATATATCTTTACCATTGTATTCATTTTGAAGAATTATCTAAAGTTTCCTACCATTGGTCTAAGTTGTCTGTAACTCTAGTTGGAAACCCTGTACCTTACACGGCTGTAATGATGAGTCCCTGACGTCATGGATTGATGACATAATGGTCATCCTTGCACCTTTTCCGTTTAAATAACTGGTTAATTTGTATTTCTCTAACTACATGTAACGTCAAGCTTATTGAATAATCGTAATCGAAATAGTATACTCAAATTCTGGGCACGAAACACGGATTATTGTTACTCTGCATTTGTCTTTGTTAATCTGGTCTAATTACATATTAACATGTATAAACTTTTAGCGAGCGCCTACGTGAGTTTATCCTGTACACATATATTCCTGCTTCGGTCTGGGCACCCGGGCAGTATCACAGCCCACACACAAATATGATGAACTGCTTATAATTATGGAAACTACTTTACTTGCTTCAACTAACAATCAAATTATTATTATTATTATTTACCACATTATTCACCCTCTTTTATACTTACACAGCGGCTCGTCTTTGGTGGAAATTCGACTGTATCTAAGCGTTCTCGAGTCACTGTCTGGTTGGAAATTGTATGTTACCACTGAATATGAGTATTGAAGCAGTTTTTCTGAAACCACGTGCACCATTCAAACTGGCTGCCTTCAACGTTCGCACAGTTATACAGGTTGAACAACAGATAGGGCTGGCTATGTCTTTGGAAAGTCTTAATATCGATATCTGCTGTCTATCCGAGACCCGTATTCAAGACTCTGGGGAAGTACTACAAATTCGCTCTTCATCTGTCGCTTTGAAAAGCTTGTTTTATGTGCGCTTATCCGGGGACCCCTTGGCATCTTCGTCTGGTCTTGCTGGCGTTGGTGTCGCACTAAGCGCTAGAGCTGAGACAGCACTAATCAATCGGATCCCCATTAACAGTCGGTTATGTGCTGTTAGATTAGAAAGTTCCATCAAAGTGAGAAGAAATCGGCGTGAGAAACGATGTCTTTTCGTCATCTCCGCCTATGCCCCGACAGATTGCAGCCCGGATGCAATCAAGGATGAGTTTTACCACCAGTTATCTGTTCTTCTCCAGAAAGTGCGTTCGACAGATATTGTAGTGCTAGCCGGAGACTTGAATGTCCAGGTCGGGCGTCTAGGCACAGAAGAGAGTCGTTTAGGTGGCCAATGGGGACTCGTTGGTCTCAGGTCAGATAACGGGGACCGTCTACTGCAACTGTGCACAGACCATAACCTGTTTCTGGCTAGCACTAACTTTCGGCACAGTCATCGCCGATGTGCCACCTGGCGTCCTCCCTCTGCATCTCAAGCCTGGACTCAGATTGATCACATCGCGATCAGCTACCGCTGGCGTGGTTGTGTACAAGACTACCGCTCCTTTTGGAGTACCTATCTGGACTCTGACCATGCCTTGGTCTGCGCCAATCTTGCCTTACTTTTCAGTGGCCAACGAAGTGATCGTCACCAAAGGATTGATATTAGCAAGTTGGTTGCAACTTCTGTTGCTAGTAAGTATCGAACCGAGCTAGTTTCTAGACTAGCTACCATTCCACCGAAAAGTATAGATGAGCATTGGTTGCAATTGCACGACTCCATGAAAATGGCGGGTACAGTCAGTTGTGGGTTCGCGAAACGTTCCGCTTATAAGCACTGGGTTTCTTCAGGCTCCTTACAACTCATTGAAGCCCGTCGGTCTTCTCCGGGTGACCGTGAGTTTGACCACAAACGAAGGATGTTACGTAAGGAAATTGGGCAAAGCTTGCGTAAGGACCGAGAAGCCTGGTGGTCGAAGCGTGCTAATGAGTTGGAAGCAGCAGCTGCATCTGGTAACTACCGGAAGCTCTTCCAACTCATCCGAGTCACTGGCAGCAAGAAGTCCGGTGTGAGCGAAACAATCTATGAGGATGACGGGATGCCAATCACTAACATCCATCGACGTCTTGGACGATGGGCAGAATTTTCCGAAGGGCAGTTCAACTGGCCTCCTGCTCCGGCAACATGGGTCAGACTGTCCTGCCCTGCATGGCCGGTGACGACTGATCCACCAAATGAGGCGGAAGTCCGCAAGGAACTCCAACTCTTGAAGCGTTACAAATCACCTGGCCCAGATGACTTACCTCCGGCTCTTTTTAAAGATGGTAGTGATTTTCTGACAAAGGAATTGACGACGTTGTTTACAAAGGTTTGGGAACTAGAGAGTGTACCAACGTCATGGAATGAGTCGATAGTTGTCCCTATCTTTAAAAAGGGTTCACGTCGTTCCTGTAACAACTATCGGGGGATAAGTCTACTTCCCATTGCGTCCAAGCTATTGGCTTCCGTCATTCTTCGTAGGTTGTTCAAAACCCGAGAAAGATTGACTCGCGAGGAGCAGGCTGGTTTTCGTTCTGGTCGAGGATGTGTTGATCATATCTTCACCCTCTGCCAAATATTAGAACACCGCCATACTTATCAAAGGCCAACAATCTTAGTGTTTCTTGACATCAGGGCTGCCTTCGATTCGTTGGATAGGACTGTTCTCTGGGATTGTCTATTGAAGAGGGGTGTGCCTGAGAAGTTAATTACCATCCTAAAAGCCCTATATACAAACACCTCAGGCAGAGTGAGGGTATACAACCACCTCTCTCCATTGTTCCATTCGAGCAGTGGGCTTAGACAGGGTTACCCAATCTCACCATTCCTCTTCAACTTTGCCATCGACGACATTCTGGAAACAGCTCTGATGGATGTAAGTAATGGTGGTGTGGATCTGTTGCCTGGAGAAAGACTTCTCGACCTTGAGTATGCTGGTGGGGGTGTGAGTGATGAGATCAATGCACGTATAGTGAAAGCCAGAGCGGCTTATGCCAATCTGGGCCATCTTTGGCGCCTTCGTGATGTTAGTCTGGCTGTAAAAGGTCGGATCTACAACGCGTCGGTGAGAGCAGTTCTGCTCTATGCTTGTGAAACCTGGCCTTTCCGAGTTGAGGACGTTAGACGACTCTCTGTGTTCGATCATCGCTGTCTCCGAAGGATTGCTGACATTCAGTGGCAACACCATGTCAGTAATGCAGAGGTTCGGCATCGTGTGTTCGGGCACAGAGATGATAATTCAATTGGTGTGACCATCTTGAAACACCGACTTCGGTGGCTTGGACATGTTCTCCGAATGTCGTCCCAGAGAATTCCACGTCGTGCATTATTTGCCGACTCTGGGACTGGTTGGAAGAAGCGGAGAGGTGGTCAGTGCATGACATGGTCCCGTGGCATTAAAGAAAGCTGCAAAGGGCTAGCTTCTATTGGTCCTTCACGACTCCCTGGCTGGGGTCCGAGAGATGGTGCTACACAGTGGCTAGAGACGTTATCAGATATGGCTCAGAATAGAAGCCAGTGGCGATCCTGCTGTAACCTTCTTTTACTTTCTTCATAAAAAGTGGTTGTGTCTCCCTTACCTGAAAGATTTCTTCTGATTGTACCTTTCCGTTCCCTCATTATTACTATTATTATTACTACACTACCTTACACCAATCTCTTCGTTATTGTTCTCTTTTTTTACGCTCCTTACCTTTTTTTCTCTTCGAATTCTCATTGTTTTGTGTGGCGCATATATATATTGGCGCTCTCTTGTACCAATATTTATGTGTTCAAATAAATATATAAGTACACATATATTTGTACTTAGTTACGCCTGTTATACATCGTCTAGGAGCATAGACCGCCCACCAGCACTCTCCACCCGACCTTGTCTTAAGCAATCCTTTCCAGTTGCTATTCATCCTTTTCATGTCTGCTTCCGATTCCTGACGCATTGTACTGTACAGCCTTCCTTTTTTCTGTTTCACTTCAGGATTCCAAGTTAGCACTTGCCTCAAGACGCAGTTTAATGATTTCTTCAATCTGTGTCTTATTCACTTCAAACGTCTTTTCCTAATTATCTCTTCAACTGGAAGCTGGTTTGCCCATTTCCACAGAATGGTGTCGCTGATGGTATCCGGCCAACGGACATTGACTATTTTACGTAGACAATTGTCTATAAATACTTTTACCTTTTTGACGATGGTTGTGGTACTTCTCCAAGTTTCAGCTCTGTACAGTAGAAATGTCTTGACGTTCGTATTGAAGATTCTGACTATGATGTTGGTTGACAGTTGTTTTGAGTTCCTTATGTTCTTCAGTTGTAGGAATGCTGTCCATGCACGACTTTGCACTGTAATCTGTATGATGTTGACGATTTTCTCGAGCACTCCATAGTGTCGTAAAAGTTTCCATAATGTACTTCTATACACACTGTCAAATGTTTTCTTATAGTCAATGACGTTGATGTATAGTGACGAGTTCCACTCAGATGATTGTTCAACGATGATCCATAGTGTCACGTTGTGGTCTGTGCACGACCGGTCCTTACTGAATCCAGCCTGTTGATCTCGAAGCTAGGCGTCTACTCAGTCTTTCATCCGGTTCACAAACACTGTTGAGAACCTTTCCTGATACTGACAGTATTGTGATGTCTCTTTATTTCTCACATTTTCCCAGATTTCCTTTCTTTGGTATCTTGATGATGTGTTCTTCTTTCCAGTCCATCGGCACTTGTTTTTCCTTCCAAATGTTCCTGAATACGACGTGGAGCATGTTTGCAGTTAATTCTGTGTCCGACTTCAAAGCTTCAGCTGGTATATTGTCAGGTCCTACTGCTTCCCCACTTTTGATTTGTCTCATGGCCACCCTGATTTCTCCGAAAGTTGGTTGAGTGACATCTATAGGAAGGTCTGTAGGTGAAGGTTTGGTGTCCAGTGGATTCACTAGAGCTAGTCTATTCAAGAGTTCTTCGAAGTATTCTAGATATCTGTTTCTCTGTTCCTGAATTTCGGTGATTGTCTTACCCTCCTTGTCTTTGGCCGGTCTCTCTGGTTTACTATATTTCCCTGGTAGTTTCTTCGTTATGTCACATGGTTGTCTCATATTTCCTTCTCTTGCAGCTTTATCTGTTGTCGTTGCTAGCTCCCATGTATTTTTGCTTGTCGGCTTGTCAGTTATTGTACATTTTTTGTCTCCGTCTAACGTGTACTCTGATTGGTTGTCTATATTCTATACAATATTCACTATACATGGAGATTGAGTCACCCTTTATTCACTGATTTCTACCGGAACACCAATTTCCATATTCAGTGCCATCTTATCGTTCTGCTGTTCACATACATGTGCAAAATATAGGAATGCAAAAAGCATTTCTTATTAACTTTTATGTTTTACGTTGTACTAAGGTAATCAGTTGATGGAATACATTCAGGTAGTGGAATACATATTTTTTTTAGTACCACACAGTCGTCATCATGCAGTCAGCGCATTGC